TAGAAATAGGTGCCGCTCCGACCAACCGTACCGATGTGACCGCTTTAATAGCGGACAATACGGTGTGACTTGGCATATGATTTGCAAGTTGCATGGCATGCAAATCGCATGCCAAGTCACACCCGATGTGACCAGGGTGTAACCATGTACCAATGCCTTAGTATGCTAACAGGTTGCTCCTTGTGAGATGGGTGTGGTAGCTAGTCTGTTTGTCCCTATAAGGAAGTGGAACAGGAATGATATAAGGTAGGAGGTATGAGCTCCAAGTCTACTCTGTGTGGTACTGCTGGAGGGTTTTTTAATTTTAGTTTCCCCACAGGCTCGCTCTAAGCATAGCATAATCATAGGATAATATTTCCTTTTTTTAGATGTCTGCTCTTTTAAAATGAATAAACTGGACTTAAATATTCTTCTTTATTAAAGCACCAGCCAGCAAATGCTCAGACAGGGGCTCCCAGAGGCTTTTACTCAGGTCAATAGTTCTAGAACTCTCATCGTCAACAATACACTTTAATCCTGCCTTTAAATGTATCTTGTGCCTAAAAAGGATTTCCGGATCTTTGATATAACAATTTAAATGGAGCAGTAGAGAGGAACAGATGATTGATCCCTAAACTATAGTGCTTATCTGTTAATGTGCCACATAATGTCTGTAAGCAAAACTGGAGGATGTGAGCAATCAATAAACAGGCTGTAATGATGCAAGATGCTCTAGGCTTTTTCAGAACTTATTCCAATACCTAAAAGGAACTCAACATGTGGTCCATATCACTTTCCTCCGTTTGAGCATATAAATATGTCTTTGCAGGCTGTAAAAGCCTAATCCTATTGCACCAGACACAGAAAGCACACTAGCGCACAAATGATACAGCCAAGGTAGAATGTACCATGAGGCTGTGTTACACATGCAGAAGCTATTGCTTGATAACTGTGGAAAGCAGCTTCAGTTTTGTTCCAGTTTTTTTTCAGTACTTTTTCTGAATCAGCATGTCTGTGTGCTTCATTCCAAACAATTGCCTGTGTCCGATCTTAAATGATAACATTTAACAATAAATAGGTCAATTTTTACATTATAGAAACAGTTTGATGGCTCTATATAGGGAGATAATATTCTTTTTTCTTTTTTTTTTAACTTGCAGCTGTGCATAGTCATGATTGATCAATTAAAAATAAGGGAAGACTGACCCTATATCAGGAGTCCTTAAAGAGGCATGGTAACTTTGCCCTTTCAGGTACAGTGACAGTGCTGATAGCTTATATCTCCAGAAATGTATACTTCCCAACATCCTCTCCTTTGCAATTTCCCCATTACATTGGAACCATTGTTTTGGTGCTGTAAAGGAGCACGGCTTCTGATTATAGGGATGTATGTGGCCTGCCTCCCTCATGTGACAGTGCTCAAGCCCTCCTGTGTGGGGTGAGGCAAAGATGTCCTCACTCTAGTAAGCTCCACCTATCGGAAAAAGTCATCTAGAGCCCAGGGCGAACATGTCAAATTCCTCCCTCCCCTATGTATGACCATTGTGTGTCAGCAAAAATCCCCCCCCCTACAAAGGGCACTAATCTGCATACTTACCCCTTAAGCATACTGTAAATTTCATCTCCTCTCAGTACAAATCCACCCCTCTGCTGGAATCACCCCTCTCAGCATAAACCTTTGCCCCCCACCCCAGCTCACATCCTCTCTCTCACCATATGTCTCCAGTACAAATCCCCCCCCCAAAAAAAAAAAATGTCCCTCTCCTGGCACAAATCCCCCCTCCCCCTCAAATTTCCCCTCAACGCACAAATCCCCCCTCCCAGCACAAATTCCCCTCTGCCAATCCCCTCTCCTAGCACAAATGTTTTCCCCCAAATTTCCCCTCCTAGCACAAATACCCCCCAATCATCCCTACTAACACAACCCCCTAAAATCTCCCCTCCTAGCACAAATCTTCCACCATCCCCCAACACAAAACCCCCCAAATCACCACTCTTAGCACACCTCCCCAAATTTTCCTCCTATAACAATTCTAACCCCCTGCCACCTTCCAAATTCCCCCTTCCAACACAAACTCTCTCCCCAGTCTCCTCGTAGTGCCCCTATACCTCACATACCACAATACCCAGGGCAGCTGCCCCTCCTGCCCACTACTTGTCTCGGCCCTTCTCCAACACAATCAAACACCAGAGCTTTTTTAGGGTAGGCCCTTGCAGCCAGGAGGTGACAAGGGAACACAGTCTGCTTAATATACTTTTGCTGGGGTGAGTGGGCTTTTAGCAGACACTCTCACTCTTCTCTGAATGTTCAAAGAGAGCGTGCATTTTACTAGTCTTATCTAGTCATCCAAGCCATGCTACGTACACCGAAAAAACTTCAAAATAAGTAGCATGCCCTGTCCCTGCCCTTGCAGTCAAAACTTGCTATGTAAATGCAGCAACCAGATCTAGCCACTGACCTTCTAAACAGTGTTTGAAACATTTGGTCAGTAGTCATGATTCAGGGCTTGGTCACATATAGTACAGTGACTGGCTTTTTCCATATTGGATAAATTCCAGTAATGGGTAGGCCACATATAAAACAGTTGACTTCTATGCATCCCATTTGCATTGCAACTAAGGCGGGAGGTGTGATTCAGTGAGCAGAGGTAAATGTGGATATGCTACATTTTACAGTAGTACACAGGTAGGCACTGCATGTCACAGCAAAGCAGCTCAACACACCACACTGCTGTGCAGAGACGTGACTGACGTGTCACTTTGTGCACATTAAATAAAGTTTAAAAAAAGAAGGAAAATGTATGATGCACTGAAATGCATATCACACTACTCTCTTACAGTGACTCACTGCAGCCTGGAACTGACAGCTGGCCGCATGGAACATTATTTTTAATTTGTATTCTGTTAAATTCATCTGTGGATCAAGCGGGTGAGCTTTGATCTCTAAATTATATCACTTAAATTAACCTACCAAGTAAAAAAGAAAAAAAGAAATATATATTTATATACAGTATATATATATATATATATATATTATTTTTTTTTTAAATGAAATTTGTTCCTATTTAATCCATTATTAACCTTTAGTTAACCCTAATCAGCCCTGATTATCATCTTCCTTTTTTTAGCTATTAATTTTCTGTAGTTTCAATTTCTATTTCTTTTCAAACCATTAATATTCTAAATGTATGTGTTTTTTTTTATTGCATTAAAAAAATTCACAAAATAAAAAATAAAAACCTGCATTTCATCTGTAAATATCTTTGCAAGGCTTTAAGTCAGAAATGTAATTTTAGTGTCATTATAAAATGATACAAATTATGGAATAAAACTTACTTTTTATTTACATTACCACTACTTTTTATGGCTTTGAAGTGGTTAAAACAAGCTCATGGCTGCAACAATGACAGAATAAGAAAAAAGTAACTCTAGGTCCCTATATTTATGGTGAACTCCAAACTGGTGAACTGTAAAGGAATGTATAGCTGAAGTTTTGTATAATTTTCTTTTGGGATACTGTACCATACACATTAGTAAGTATGTGTAATAGTGTGTATCCCATTACCTGCAGGTGTTCATTTGTCCTAGTAATCTCCCCTGCAGTGTCTTCTCACAGTCACCGGAAACTGCCCTCAGCTTCTGTCCTCTAAAAGGTAAATGCAGCCTTAGCCATATAGAAATGTCACAATGTCTGTTTGCCCCTTTCTACACTCTCCTCCACTCATAGCTGCGTCTTACTACAATCCTACAATGCATAATGTTCTGTGCATAGATGGTGGAATCCTGTCATTCAACTGCTCTGCTGCCCATTTATAGAATGAGATGAATTGTGAGATTTTAGTAAGACAGCTTCTATGAATGGAGGAGAGAGCAGAAGGGGTGGTTGGGCAGCGCACCTTTTTCATTTTTGGCGCACGAATAATCATTCGCAGGCCCTGTTCATTAGTTCTTAGCGCCCTCTGGCCTTTATAATGATGACAGTTGCTCGCAGACCTTGCTGATACCTGTGTTTCTTGTGTACTTATACTTTTGGACTTACTGTTATCAACCTGGCTAGCTTTTGGACTCTCCCTTGTCTGTCTTGGCTCTGACCTCAACTTCTTCATTGGATCTCTTCCTGTCCGCTTCCTGTGTATGACCTCGGCTAGCCTGACCACACTTTGATCCTCTCCCTGCTGACTCTTGGTATTCTGACCTTGGCACCTGCTCCTGACCACGTCTCCTGTGTTGCTCCTGCCTGTTGTACCTGTCTGCTGTGACCAGCTTGCTGTACTTATCTGCTGTAACCTGACAGCTATGACCAGCCCCCTGTACCTTCTTGCTGCTGTGCGCTGCCAGCACTATCCAGCACCTCTTCCAGGACCAGCTGCTCTTCTCATCTGGAGCCTATCTGCAGAGGGATCACCATTACAGCATCAACTACCTCGGCACAGTAGGCAATCCCTGCTTCTCTGGGCTCAAGTGTTCCCTATTACCATCTGCAGGGCTGCTGGGCACTTAGCAACAAAAAGAGCCCTCTCAAGACCAGGTACATGACAGAGTGTTTACAGGCATAACTGTGTTTAGAGTTTCTAATTTCTAATTGGATCTTGGATGTACAGAGTTCTATTTTCTCTAAGGCTAGGTTCACATCTATGCAGGTTGTGGATGATGTGTTTTTCCAGTGCATTGTGCCATTTTGAACACGCGTTATGTTCTTTTTTTGGCTAATTGGAAAATATGATAGTTTTGTTCATGTGATGCGACTTTGATGAGACCTTAAACACTCTGGCACAAGTAGCATCAAAGTCATATCAAAGTATTGCAGGAACCTTTTTGTGTCCAAACTCACATTTTTTTGGCTAATAGGAAAGTATGTCAGTTCTGTTCATGTAAGGCGACTTTGATGCAACTTTCCACTCTCTAGCATTGAAGCAGCGACACTATATTGCCAAAAGTATTGGGACACCCCTACAAATCAAATGGATTCAGGAGTTCCAATAACCTCCATGGCCACAGGTGTATAAAATCATCACCTAGGCATGCAGATTGCTTCTACAAACATTTGCGAAAGAACAGGTCGCTCTCAGGAGCTCAGTGAATTCAAGCTTGGTACCGTGATTGGTTGCCACCTGTGCAATAAGTCCATCCATGAAATTTCCTTGCTACTAAATATTCCACAGTCAACTGTTAGTGGTATTATAACAAAGTGGAAGCAACTGGGAACAACAGTAACTCAGCCACAAATTGGTAGGCCACGTAAAATGACAGAGCGGGGTCAGCGCATGCTGAAGGGCAGAAGTCACCAACTGTCTGCAGAGTCAATAGCTAAAGACCTCCAAACTTCATGTGGCCTTCAGATTAGCACAACAACAGTCCACAGAGAGCTTCATGGAATGGGTTTCCATGGCCGAGCAGCTGCATCCAAGCCTTACATCACCAGGTGCAGTGCAAAACGTCAGATGCAGTGGTGTAAAGCACAACGCCACTTGACTCTGGAGCAGTGGAGACATGTTCTTTGGAGTGACAAATCACCCTTCTCTGTCTGGCAATCCAATGGATGTGTTTGGGTTTGGTGGTTGCCAGGAGAACAGTACTTGCCTGACTGCATTGTGCCAAGTGTGAAGTTTGGTGGAGGGGGCAATATGGTGTGGGGTTGTTCTTCAGGGGTTGGGCTTGGCCCCTTAGTTCTAGTGAAGGGAACTCTTAAGGCATCAGCATACCAAGACATTTTGGACAATTTTATGCTCTCAACTTTGTGGGAACAGTTTGGGGATGGCCCCTTCCTGTTCCAACATGACTACGCACCAGTGCACAAAGCAAGGTCCATAATGAGCGAATTTGGGGTGGAGAAACTTGACTGGCCTGCACAGAGTCCTAACCTCAACCCAACAGAACACCTTTGGGATGAATTAGAAAGGAGACTGCGAGCCAGGCCTTCTCGTTCGACATCAGTGCCTGACGTCACAAATGTGCTTCTGGAAGAATGGTCAAACATTCCCATAGACACACTCCTAAACCTTGTGGACAGCCTTCCCAGGAGAGTTGAAGCTGTTATAACTGCAAAGGGTGGGCCAACTCAATATTGAACCCTACAGACTAAGACTGGGATGCTATTAAAGTTCATGTGTGTATAACGGCAGGCGTCCCAATACGTTTGGCAATATAGTGTACGTGACTGTGCTATTTTGGCAGGGGTGCCTGGAATACAGATAATGGTAATATTTAATGGTTTGTTTTTTTATTTTTGCCAGTAGTTTTCTTACAATATTTTTTTTTCTTAAAATATATATATTTTATATAAGATACATATTATAATTAAGTGGGTCTCTTAAATTCCATATCGTATGACTTGACGTGCATGCACACCAATCTTCATTGCTAAGTTTTCAAAAACTAGAAACCTACTGATACAAGACAACAATCAGCTGTTGCTCCTCATTAGTTTATTGATTTTTTTCCTCTGCTTTACCAGTCCATTAATATTATGGTTATTTCAGTACTGAAAAGAAACCCATGCCTGTTAACTCTGGGTTCCTGGCTATCATTTAGAATGAAAAATCAGTCCTCACCTTAAGCTGACAAATCTTTACTACAAGTTTGTTTGAAAAACTGATTTCATATATCCACCCCCAGGATCACTGAATAGGGTGTTTTTGTGTACCATTTTAACTTCAATGGACTGACCTAAGCGTGTTTGTCGGCCAAAAGAAGCTCCTGCTCCTTTATGGGCAACAAGCTTAATGTAATTTTTAAATGTGAACATTACTGTGATTGCTGCGCATTTGTGTTGTGTGATGATGACACTGCATTTACCCACTTGCCTTCCAGAGGATTCGCCCCCCTTCCTGACCAGGCCATTTTTTGCTATACGACACTGCGTTATTTTAACTGACAATTGCGTGGTCATGCAATACCGCACCCAGATGAAATTTACGTCCTTTTTTTCCCAAGCTTTCTTTTGGTAGTATTTGGCCACCTGTGCATTTTTTTATTTTTTGCGCTATAAGCAAAAAAAGACCAACAATTTTGAGAAAAAAACTATTTTTGAATTTCGCTATTAAACATATCCAGTAAAAAAATTTTAAAAATCAAACCGTCATAAATTTACACCAAAATGTATGCTGCTCCATGTCTTTACTAAAATAAATCCCAATACGTGTAAATTAATTGGTTTATGTGAAAGTTATAGCCTTTACAAATGGCTGGGATTTTTTTTTTTCCTACTAGTAATGGCGGTGATTAGTGACTTTTAGCGGGACTGCGGGACTACAGCAGGCATTCTGACACTGGGGGGAACTTGGTGTCACTGACATCCCCAGTGACACCATTACAGTGATCAGTGCTAAAAAACAGCACTGACACTGTACTAATGACACTGAGCAGAAAGGGGTTAATGTGAGGGGCGATCAAAGGGTTAACTGTGTGTAGGGAGTGTTTTACTACAAGGCAGGGGGTGTGTGCTTCACTCTAAGTACACGGTGATTATCGGTAACCACTGGGCGCTGACGGGTAATCACCAACCGGGACCCGATGATTTGACATCCACGGCTGCGAATGGTGGCGTGGGTAGGCTGCGCGTTCCCCCTACTCGGAAATGCAAAATCAAATGATTTTGTGCACCTGTGCCGCCGTGTAGCAGTATATCTGCTATACGGTGGCGGGGAAGCGGTTAAGAATAATGGCACGCAAATGCGCATAGTCTCTTTTCTTGCAATCGGTGACAGAATTGTGGCCATTCTACCTGCAATTTTCAAATTACCTAAGGTGAAAGAGGTCTCAGTCTGTGTGAATGCCAGAGTTCAAAGCCAGCCTCAGTGCTTACTTGCGTTTAACATTTGCTTTGCACTCTGAAGAGTGATCTGCATTAACACAAGAAAAGCCAACACTCATAATATCTGAAGATCTCAAGTGTATCTCTATACCTATACTGGTAATCCAACCATTCTAGCAAACAGGTCAGCATTACATACTGTACATCTGACACTGATACAACCCACCTGTCTATCTTTTAGACTATGCTTTAGACTAGCCATTTGATGAGAAATATAATAAGCCATAACATTATGACCATCCACTATAACCTGTCGAGACATGGACTCCATTAGGTATGCTGTGGTATGTGGTAACAAGCCATCAGTAGCAGATCCTTTAAGTGCTGTAAGTTGAGCGGTGGGGCCTCCATGGATCTGACTTGTTTTTCCTGCACATCCTAGAGATGCTCGATTGGACTGAAATCTGGAGAATCTGGAGGCCAACTCAACAACAGTATTTGTTGTTTTCCTTAAACCATTCTAGAATTAACCGGACCAGGCTACCTTCTTCCATTGCCGTGATGCTCACATACCCATTGTAGGTGCTTTTGGCTGTGGACATGGCACAGCATAGACAGCCCCATGGACAACAGTCTGTGATGCACTGAGTGATCTGACACCTTTCTATCGGAACCAGCATTAACTTTTTCTGCAATTTAAGCTACATTAGCTCTTCTCTTGAATCAGATTACACGGGCCTCCCCATGTGCATCAATGAGCTTTGGCTGCCCCTGACCCTGTCGCCGGTTTGCTGATTTCCCTTCCTTGGACCACTTTTGGTGGGTCCTGACCACTGTAGACAGGGAACATTCCACAAGAGCTACAGTTTTGTAGCTGTTCTGACCCAGCCATCTAGCAATTACAAATTCACTCTTGTCAGTCACACAGATCCTTACACTTGCCCGTTTTTTCTTTTTTTAACACATAAATTTCCAGGACAATATGTTCATTTGCTGTCCAATATATCCCACCCACTTTCAGATATCAAATTGTAATGAGATAATCTGTGTTATTCACTTTACCTGTCAATCGTCAGAATGTTATTGATTGATCGTGTATTCAAACAATTTATAAACTCCTGTTTCAAGTCTACAGATATACCATAAGCAAATCAATGGACTAATTTTAACTATCACAGGCAGAATGGCTTACGGTTATAACAAGCTATTTACAGCTTGAGGAAACTGTACAAACACAAGAAATGCTTAGATGAGTTTAATGCAGCATGGAATCTAGGGGATGTGCTGCACCCTATCCATCAAAGCCAATTGCCTGGATAACAATTCATACCAGCTGTTTATTTCTCCAACTGTACTTTTTCAGTGATCATACCTCCATTCTGTTCATGATTATCAATATATATACATGGTACCCATTAATTAGAATTTAATCCTTGCACTCAAATGTAACCACTTCAGCTCTACACCTCCATAGACCAGAGTGATTTTTATATTTTTGCTATTGGTCTACACCACCACCAGGAGTTGAGAGGAGACCTGGCTGTGTGTTGCACTTGTGCTACAAACTGACAAAACATCTACAGCTGGACGCTGCTAACCCTGGGGATGAATTATGGACATGTTTGATACAGCTTGAGAGTGCTGGAATTTAAACCCACATATATATTCTGTTTCATATATGGTGCGCATCGGTGGAGCTTGGTATTAGAAGGAGTATGGAGTATGCAGGCTTGCTTTATCCAGATGACATCAAGGAGATTGATCCATAAGGCTGTGATGACATCTTAAAGATCCTCTCTTAGGAGTGCGCTCTTTGGAACTGTATCATACCTTGGTGATTATTAATTTAATTTGGTAAGGGTATTTACTCCTTACACAATAGAAGTGTGCACAGATATTGACACTTGTTGTTTGATGTTTGTTTGTGCACTGAGAGTGATTCACTGTCACGGTTGACACACTAACTCACTTTTTCACTGTCAGTGGTGACGTGTGTTTTTTTTACACAGTGTATTAATTTTTTACACAGTGTATTGCTTATATATTGGTTTATCAAGGATAACGCACTATGTAAATTTTCTTTTTTTGAGGTTTACTTTGTTTGTGGGAGTCACTTGGAAGGTTCAAACACAAGGATTTTCTTGGAATTACCACTTTATGACTTTATAATTTTTTAAGGACACAAGTATATGATTTTTATATATTGATTTGAATTTGGTGATTATTGTTTATTATGGACACTTTTTGATATTATTTATTTATGATTCTTTATATTTTTCATGATTTGGGAAATTGTATATGTTATAGGTAGCATACGCTAAGTAAGTCACGTATTGATACACTTTTAGGGGTGAAGGTGTAATTTTATGCTATAGGGTTTAATTCTAGATTTAGATTCTATTTAGGTTGATACCGTAATTTCTATACACATCATATACAAATAGAATTTCATTCCTTTGATTTGAAGTTGAATGGAACAGAGTGAATATAAAAGTAGCAATAATGTTTTGTATCTGTAAGGGCCCTTTCACATTAGTAACTGCATGCAAATTGCACAGGAACGCTGTGCAGTTCCTGTGCAATTCACCTGCAGTTCTGTGCAGTGCGATGTCAGCCCTATTCAATTTGAATGTGCTG